TGAAACATCTGGATCAAAGCTATTGAGTCCCATTGCATTTCAGTCACCCAGATTGGCTAGTTTGTGGATTGGGTTGGGCGTAAATACTCTATTTATTGGCCAATCCATACTTAACATTCTTCAAGATCAATGGGCAGCCTAATGCAATACAGCAACAATAAAGTGGGGAAACCGTGTTTTTATTAGAACAAAGACAAGTCACAAACAAAAAGCTTGTCAATCCATTAAAAAACAGTATTATTATTGGGTTGCTGTGAGTTTTCCAGGCTTTATGGCCAATATGTTCCAGAAGCATTCTCTCCTGACCTTTCACTCACACCTATGGTAGGTATCCTCTTGTGGCAACACCAGAGGCACTCCAAGTGGCCAGATACTACTTGGCTTGGGCGATCCAGTTCGTTAATTTCGTTATTCGTTATTAATTCGTATTTAAATTAGCTTACGATCCAATATCGAGCCATGCAGGAATAGTGTGAGGAGTAATTAAGAATCGGAACAATTTTTCCAATTTTCGTAATTATTTCGTAATTATTTTCTTTCCTCATGCTTCTTGCCTCACTCTGGGCTGCACTGGGCTTCCTTCCTTCCTTCCTTCCTTCCTTCCTTCCTTCCTTCCAGCTGGCAAATTCCACATTCCCCCGTCCCTCTTTCTCCTGGCATCCTTCTTGCCCAAAATTTCTCATTACTTTATTTTTCATACCCTCACTCTATGCCACAGCAATGCGTTGCCAGGTACAGCTAGTATAAAATATAATATAATATAATATAATATAATATACAATTATAGTATAAAATAATATACAATTATAATATAATATATAATATAATAATAATATAATATATATTATATTATATTATATTATTATAATACTATTATATTATAGTATTGTATTGTATATTATATTATATATTATATTACTATATTATTATATTATATTATAATTGTATATTATAATATAATATATATTATAATATATTTTATTATAATATTATATATATAATATAATATGTTATAATATAAAGTAAGTAAAGGTAAAGGTAGTCCCCTGACATTAAGTCCAGTCATGTCTGACTCTGGGGTGTGGTGCTCATCTCCATTTCTAAGTCGAAGAGCCAGCGTTGTCCGTAGACACCTCCAAGGTCATGTGGCCGGCATGACTGCATAGAGCACTGTTACCTTCCCGCCGGAGCGGTACCTTTTGATCTACTCACATTTGCATGTTTTCGAACTGCTAGGTTGGCAGAAGCTAGGGCTGACAGCGGAAGCTCACGCCGCTCCCCGGAATCGAACCTGCGACCTTTCGATCAACAAGCTCAGCAGCTCAGTGCTTTAACCCAATGCGCCACCGGGGGCTATAATATACAATAATATAATATAATATAATATAATATAATATAATATAATAATAATATAATAATATATTATAATAATATAATAATAATAATATAATAATATAATATAATATATAAAATATTATAATATATAATAATATAATATAATATAATATAATATAATATAATATAATATAATATAATATAATATAATATAATATAATATAATATAATATAATATAATATAATATAATATAGTTGTTGTTTGTTTTATCACACCAACAGTCAACAACAGAGGGAGAGGGAAGCTTCAGAAGTTCCCCCTGTCCCATTTGGAAGTTTTTTTAGCATATTGCGCAATCGCGTCCGCCATTAACGAATCGATTCGAAATTTACAAAATTTACAAAATTTTGAAATTTTGAAAAGGACAATTTTGGAAGTCCAAAAAAAAAACCGAAACGCCATCGCCCCCTACAAACGAAACGAGTTTAGAACCAAATTTTTCCGTTGTTATCCAAGCCTACCAGATACTGGTCAAAGGACATTTAATCAACTACCAAGCTTGAAAACTTTGCGTTTTGTTTGTTTGTTTGTTAAAAATGTAATACAATTGTCTGGTTGCTCCTGGCATGATAAATAAATAATCCTCAGAGGTTTTCAGATCTGTTGGAAACTTGGCAAGTGGAATGTCCAGGGTGGGAGAAAAATATGGTTTATTCTCTAGCCTCCACAGACAAAAGGATCCTTGGTGTGGAAAAATAGAACAACAGCACCTCCCTATGGCTGAGTCAAGCACAGCCTCCAGATGCCAGAGATTTTTTTTTCATGTCAGGAGTGACTTGAGAAACTGCAAGTTGCTTCTGGTGTGAGAGAATTGGCCGTCTGCAAGAATGTTGCCCAGAGGATGCCCAGATATTTGATGTTTTACCATCCTTTTGGGAGGCTTCTCTCATGTCCCACCCCATGGGAAGCTGGAGCTGACAGAGGGAACTCAACTCACTCTTCCCAGATTTGAACTGCTGTCGGTTAGCAGTCCTGTCGGCACAAGGGTTTAATTCACTGCTCCACCAATGCCAGAGACGAAAAGAGGGGAGCCTTGTCTCTGTTTATGTACTGTCTTTGTTGTCAATTGTATAACAGAACTGAATGTTTGCCATATATGTAATCTGCAATCTACTCTGAGTCCCCTTTATTTATATTCAGCTATATATTCAGATATATACCCCAGGTTTCGGCGGTGACCAGGGGAGCATTTGCACAGCTAAAGCTTGTGCGCCAGCTGCGCCCGTACCTTGGGAAGTCTGACTTGGCCACGGTAGTCCACGCTCTGGTTACATCCCGTTTAGACTACTGCAAAGCTCTCTACGTGGGGTTGCCTTTGAAGACAGCTCGGAAGCTCCAACTAGTCCAACGCTCGGCAGCCATGATTTTAAACAGGAGCGGAGCGCAGGGAGCATACAACCCCCCTGTTGCGCCAACTCCACTGGCTACCGATCTGCTACCGGGCTGAATTCAAAGTGCTGGTTTCATTTTTTTTTTTTTTTCATCAAAGTCCGCGGGTTTTTTTTTTTTGTGGGGCTCGCGCCGTTGTTTTTGTGCTTTGTGGTGGCCCTTTAAGCCCTAAAAATGGTTCCGGCCCGCAAAGCTCGCTACTTATCCGATCCTCCCCCGCCGCCTCTATGCTATGAACCCACCAGGAACTCTCTCCTTTGAGATCTTCACCGGGGGAGGAGGGAGAACCCAACAGGACTTTGAGATCTTCCGTGGAGACCCTGCTCTCGATCCCGCCTGCTTCTCAAGCTCGGCTGGGTGGGGACGAGAGATAGGGCCTTCTCGGTGGTGGCTCCTCGGCTGTGGAACGCCCTTCCTACGGACATTAGACTAGCACCATCTCTATGGTATTCCGCAAAAAAGTGAAGACCTGGCTGTTTGAGCAGGCGTTCCAATAATTAGTGCAATGATTGGTTAATGAACACCGGAATGGAACAATGGATGACGAATCTGGAACATGTTTTTGATGACGAGACGACAGTGAATGGGTATTGTAGTAACTGTTTATTAATTGTGTAATGTGTTAGGTTGTTAACTGTTTCTATACTGTAGCACTGAATTTTTGCTGTTTGTATTTGTTGTGAACCGCTGTGAGTCGCCTTCGGGCTGAGAACAGCGGTATATAAGTAAGGCAAATAAATAAATAAATAAATAAATAAATAAATAAATAAATCTGAATATATATTCAGCTATATATTCAGATATAGCTGAATATAAATAAAGTATATTCTTCTTATTATATATTATTCATTGTTATTGGTAGTGTGGGGGCCTCCTGGTGGCGCAACGGGTTAAACTATTGAACTGCTGTACTTGCTGACTGAAAGGTTGGTTTGAATCCAGGGAGTGGAATGAGCTCCCACTGTTAGCTTCAGCTTCTGCCAACCTAGCAGTTTGAAAATATGCAAATGTGAGTAGATCAACAGGTACTGCTTCTGCAGGAAGGTAACGGTGCTCCATGCAGTCATGCTGGCCACATGACCTAGGAGGTGTCTACAGACAACGCTGGCTCTTTGACTTAGAAATTGAGAGTGGACTCTGGTATATTGTGTCCAATTCTGGGCACCACAATTGAAGAGAGAGATTGTCAAGCTGGAATGTGTCCAGAGGAGGGCGACTAAAACGATCAAGGGTCTGGAGAACAAGTCCCATGAGAAGTGGCTTAAAGAGCTGAGTATGTTTAGCCTGAAGAAGAGAAGGCTGAGAGGAGATATGATAGCCATGTATAAATACATGAGAGGAAGCCACAGGGAGGAGGGAGCAAGCTTGTTTTCTGCTGCCCTGGAGCCTAGGACGCGGAACAATGGCTTCAAACTACAAGAGAGGAGATTCCATCTGAACATGAGGAAGAACTTCCTGACTGTGAGAGCCGTTCAGCAGTGGAACTCTCTGCCCCGGAGTGTGGTGGAGGCTCCTTCTTTGGAAGCTTTTAAACAGAGGCTGGATGGCCATCTGTCAGGGGTGATTTGAATGCAATATTCCTTCTTCTTGGAAGGGAGTTGGACTGGATGGCCCATGAGGTCTCTTCCAACTCTTTGATTCTATGATTTTATGAATAGGGCTCCACAGTCACCTACGGACCATCATCCTCGGACTATTTATTTATTTACTTTACTTCTATACCACTGTTCTCAGCCCGAAGGCGACTCACAGCGGTTCACAAGACACAGGACACAGCAAAATTCAAACACCAACATAAAACAGTTAATAACCTAATCTAATACACAATTAATACACAATTACTATAATAACCATTCACTGGCGTCTCATCACTAAAAAACACGATCCAGATTCGTCATCCATTGTTCCATTCCTATGTCATTACCAGTCATTGCACTAATTATTCGAACGCCTGCCTACATAACCAGGTCTTTACTTTTTTGCGGAAAACCATTAGAGATGGAGCTAATCTAATGTCTGCGGGAAGGGCGTTCCACAGCCGGGGAGCCACCACCGAGAAGGCCCTGTCTCTCGTCCCCGCCAGCCGTGCTTGTGAAGCTGGCGGGAGGACTACGAAGGATCGCGTAAGTAAGTAACCTTTACACTGTTGGTAGTGTATGAATGTCACCAACTGCTACTGAACAATTAGTAAACAGTATAACATGCGAGACAAGTATAATATTTTCTTCGTTTCTTTATTTTACATGTAATGTACAGAGAAGGATGTGCATAGATCCAACATGAGCATTTATGTAGCCCTTCAAGAGAAAGAAAAATAGTGCAAGCTACCCATTTCTCTATAGCATATCAAGAACTTTGTGCAAAAAGTTTTCGAAAAGCCACTTTTGTTTGAACCCTTTTATACAGGGAGGCTGTTTTGTTTCCCCGTAAGGAAAGGAAGGCTGAAACTGATCTGGATCCACTCATATCGGCGGTCAGTTTGTTTACTGCAGCACCAGACGAAGTAGACGCAGAAAGAAAACAGGAGAAATGTTCCAAAAGCATTTTCCTTTTAAAATCAGGCTTCCTCCCCTCCCAGATTTGGTGCTGATGGCAATGGAAAAGTATTAAGCCAGAAAATTATTATTTTGGTTTAACGATACGGCTCTGCGAATCACCATGTTGCCACTTTTGTGCATCATGCCTTAATCTACATTAATCCCCTAAATCCAACATGATTTTATGTCTGTCCTTTAATGCAGTCCCCTGTTTGGGAACACGGATGTCGGTGAACAAGGCACACGAACCAAGGCACAGACTTCCCTCCTCTCCCAGGCTCCTCCGCCTCTCCGACACAAAAAAGTTTTCCAACCTTTGGTAACAGAAAGTCTCTTCTTGTTCTCTGAATAAGAACGACAACAATAACAAAAAATAATGGACCTTCCGTCCTGAAAAGATTTGTGAAGTGTAGGCTATTCTACAAGCCTCCCTCGTTCTGGAAGCGCGGTTGATTTCGTGTCTTCACTGGGGAAAATCCGCAAGTCTTCTCCGAGACGGGCTTCAGATGTCCATGTCGAACTGGGCTTCATCACCTGTGGAAATGACAAAGTTATTAATTTTTTTTTAAAAAAAATTATTATACATTTATCAAACATGTATAAGCATACATTCTTCCCTCTTTTTACAACATCTTAGATAGAAGAATTTGTCATATTATATACAATCTAACAGTAAAAATAATCAAATACATCTTTAAGCATATTTCTTATCATTCCGTTACAACTTATACTATGTATTAGGGCTGGGCGGTTTCGTTTCGTAATTTCGTAATTCGTTAAAAATTCGTTATTTTTTTTTTTTTGGGTTACGAAGCGATAATGAACCATTCAGGAGCATCTAAAAAACGAAACGAATTTTTCAATTCGTTTCGTAATTGCTTCGTATTCGTATCGAAATCGTTTCGTTATTATTTCCGCATGTCTGGGGCAAGTTTTATAGCTGTTGTTTGTTTAATCAGTGAAAAAAAATATAAATATCACACCAACAGTCAACAACAGAGGGAGAGGGAAGCTTCAGAAGTTCCCCCTGTCCCATTTGGAGGGTTTTTAGCGTATTGCGCGGTCGCGTCCGCCATTAACAAATCGATTTGCATTCGTTTCGCAATTCGTTTCGTAATTTTACGAAATTTCATAAATATCGAACTTTTTCAAAGAAAAATTTCGGAATTCTTTTAAATATCGAAACGCAAAAAACCCCAAAAAACGAATCGAGTTTAGAAACAAATTTTTCCGTGGTTGCCCAGCCCTACTATGTATATCTCTACCACACACCTTTTATCTACTTATACATGTTTTATTTCTTTATAATTAGTATTATACCATTTCCCACCTCTTCCCTTTACCTTTAGTTTGTGCCCCCTTCTTCACCAGGACCAACCTACTCATGTTATTTCATAATTCCAAAATGTCATTGTTTCTGTTGCTGGCTTGTACCCCTTTCCCTCATTAAAAATATACTCAATAAATTTTCCCCATATTTTCCAGAAATCTGTTTGTTTCCATATTCCCCTTTGAATTTTAATATTGCAGGTTAGCTTATCATTAATAGCTATATTCCAAATTTCCCTATACCATTCTTCTAATTGAATTTCTTTTTTTCTTTCCAGTATTTTGCTATTAGCAATTTAGCTGCTATTATCAAATTAGAAACCAATTCTTTCTCCTCTTGTGATGGAATTGTATTGTCATGTATAAGTAATAAAGCTAATTATGGTGTAGTCTTAATCTCTATTGTTATTATTGCTCTTATTTCTTTGAAGATGCTTTCCCAAAAATTTCGTATAATTTTACATGACCACCACATATGAAGGTACGTCCCTATTTCCTGACAACCTCTCCAACACTGATTTGAGTATTTTTTATCAATCTGATTTAATCTAATGGGAGTTAGATACCACCTCCATATCGTTTTATAGTAATTTTCCTTGATTCTTATAGACATAGACAAAGTTATTAATGAGATTGAGACCTCGATGGTGCTCATTGTTCAAGTCTTTTGAAGCAGAGTACCGCTAAAGAAAACATGACAATCTTTAACATCTGGATCGACACCTTCTGATTCTTATTGCAAAACATTTAATCTATATAAATAAAAATGTAATGTCCGTTTGTGGGATTAACATAACTCAAAAACCACTGGACGAATTGACACCAAATTTGGACACAATACACGTATCAGGCCAATGAGTGACCATCACTCATAAAAACACTGAAAAACACAGCAAAAGGGACTTAAAAAGCCAAAACCACCCCCCCAAATACATTACAACGCAAGCGCAAAACCACATACATATAAACAAAATACATATATATATGCATATATACACACAAAACACATACACAGAAAGGAGGAAGGGAGAAGGAGAGAGAGAAGGAAGGAAAGAAAGAAGGGAGGAAAAGGAAGGAAGGAAGGAGAGGAGGGAGAGAAAGGTAGAGAAGGAAGGAGGGAGATAAGAAGGTAAAGAAGGAGGGAAGGAGAGAAGGAAGGAAAAAGGAGGTAGAGAAGGAAGAAAGGAGAGAAGGAGGGAGAGAAAGAGGGAAGGAGAGAAGGAAGGAAAGGAAAAAGGAAGGAAGGAGAGAAGGAAAGAAAGAAAGGTAGAGAAGGAAGGAAGGAAGGAAGGAAGGAAGGAAGGAAGGAAGGAAGGAAGGAAGGAAGGAAGGAAGGAAGGAAGGAAGGAAGGAAGGAAGGAAAGAGAGGGGGATGAAAATAAGGAAGGAAAGAGAGAGAGGAAAGAAAAAAGGAAGGAAAGAGAAGGAAGGACAGGTGCCCACGCACACACACAGCAGGAGGCGAAGGAGGGAGAGAATGAAATAGTGAAAGAGGGAAGGAAGGAGAGAAGGAGAAAGAGAGAAAGAGAAGGGAGGGAGGAAGGAAGGAGGAAAGGAAGGAGAGGGGAAGGAAAGAGACAAGGAAGGATGGAACCAAAGAGCAAAGGAAGCGAGAAAAGAAACAGGTAGAGAAGGAAGAAAGAAGAAGGGAAAGAAAAAGAGGGAAGGAAGGAAAGAGGGAGGGAAGGAAGGAGAGAAAGAAAGAAAGAAGGAGAGGAAGAGGGAGGGAAGGAAGGACACAGCAACGCGTGGCGGGTACAGCTAGTCTATATAAATAAAAATGTAATGTTTGTTTGTGGGATTAACAGAACTCAAAAACCACTGGACGAATTGACACCAAATTTGGACACAAGACACCTAACAACCCAATGTATGTCCTTCACTCAAAAAAATTGATTTATCATTTGGGAGTTGTAGTTGCTGGGATTTATAGTTCACCTACAATCAAAGAGCATTCTGAACTCCACCAACGATGGAATTGAACCAAACTTGGCACACAGAACTCCCATGACCAACAGAAAATACTAGAAGGGTTTGGTGGGCATTGACCTTGAGTTTGGGTGGTGTAGTTCACCTACATCCAGAGAGCACTGTGGACTCAAACAATGATGGATCTGGACCAAACTTGGCACGAATACTCAATATGCCTAAATGTGAACACCAGTGGAGTTTGGGGGAAAATAGACCTTGACATTTGTGATTTGTAGTTGCTGGGATTTATAGTTCAGCTACAAACAAATAGCATTCTGAACTCCACCAATGATGGAATTGAACCAATCTTGGCACACAGAACTCCCATGACCAACAGAAAATACTGGAAGGGTTTGGTGGGCACTGACCTTGAGTTTTGAAGCTGTAGTTCACCTGCATCCAGAGAACACTGTGGACTCAAACAATGATGGATCTGAACCAAACTTGACATGAATACTCAATATGCCCAAATGTGAACACTGGTGGAGTTTGGGGAAAATAGACCTTGACATTTGGGAGTTGTAGTTGCTGGGATTTAAAGTTCACGTACAACTATAAATCCCAATGATAGAATTGGGCTAAACTTCCCACACAGAACCCCATGACCAACAGAAAATACTGTGTTTTCTGATAGTCTTCGGCGACCCCTCTGACACCCTGTTGTGACCGCCCCCCAGGGGTACAGCCCCCCAGGTTGAGAAACGCTGTCCCAGAGAGAGGCAAAATGTGTCTTTACTGGAAGGAAGGAAAAGCAGAAGAGACTGGAAAATGGTGGAGAGATGGTCAACCCAGGGCAATAAAAACTTAAAGAGGAAATTTAGGTACTACTTATGCGGGAGTCTAATTTAACTAATTTTTGATCCTATAAAAATAATGATAAAGTACTCCATCAAGGACTCGGTGTCACAAGTAGACTGTGAAGCGACCGCTGCCCCCGGTGGCTGGAATTCAAACATACCCTCATGAAGCTGGAATATTGAACTGCCTCTGTGTTTGTCTATATATGTTGTGTGTCTATGGCACTGAATGTTTGCCATGTATATGTGAGTTGTAATCCGCCCTGAGTCCCCTGTGGAGTGAGAAGGGTGGAATATAAATACTGTAAATAAATAATTGAGGTTTGGGAACTTGATTCACAAGAAACTTGTGCAGTCCAAGGATGAAATGTTAAAAATATATATTCAAAAAAACAGCATTTCTGATGTCCCTTAGAGGTCAACACTGGTTTTATAATAGCTTCCTTGCTCCATGTGGCTTTATGTAACTTTGGAGAGAAGCACATGCCCAAAGGCTGGCGGCCACAATCTTTCAACGAACAAGTGACACAAGTGCTTTGATAGCGGCAGCTAAAGAGGCAGAACCAATCTGTAATCTTTCTGCAGCCATTTCCTTGTTCCTCGTGTGCCAACCAAGGACAAAATGTTCTTTCAAAGGCGACAGGTTCTAGCAATGTTTTGTTATTCTAAAGACGATTAAGGAGTAACAAAGCCAGATGCCCGCAAGGCGGTTCTACCAGTCCTATCTTGTTTGTTTTTAACCACATGCCACATTACAAAGCATGTAGGGCCTCACTTTGTTCAGATCCCCCAAAATACTTTAGGAGTGATCTTTAATTCTCTAAAACAGTATTTCTCAAACTGTGCACTTTTGCCAATTTTGGACTTCAGTTCCCCAAAATCCCAGCCACCCTTGCGTTGCAATCCTCCGGTTTTGGGGGGAGGGTTGCCTGGGGGCCACTTGGGCCTCAAGGAGCCTCTACGGTGGCTCCAGCTACTGCCGGGGCTTGCCTCGCCAAGCCTCCATGCCCTTCGTCTCTCCTTCCTGTCCTTTCCTCAATCCCTCCTCTCCCCAAAAGAAAGGGAACTCTGCCTTTGTACTTGGAAAGGGAGTCCATGGCTAGGCTTCTCTTCTCTCACAACGGTTGCTGCGTCAGTCTTCTCATGCACTGGGGAGGGGGCCTTTTGCGCATGCTCTGTTAGGTATTTGGGAGGGGGGGGTGTTAAAATTATTTTCCCTTCATTTTTAAAGATTTATTTTTTTGTTTGAAAGACAGATTGGATTAGTATGTTTTGCTGCCAAATTTGGTGCCAATTTGTCCAGGTGTTTTTGAGTTTTGTTAATCCCACAAACGAACATTACATTTATATACATATATATACTAGCCGTTCCCTGCCACGCATTGCTGTAGCCCAGTCTGGTGATCTGGAAAATAAAGTAATGGATTCTAATCTATGTAATTTTTTTATGCTTGTGGGTAAACAGTATTTCTTGTTTCTTTGTCAGTGTTGATGTGGAGATTGTCTGGTTTGCCTACTCTGGAACGTGCAACGTATCATTGTCCTTCTTTAGGGGTCCCTTTCAAATCTATATTATATCTGTGTGCGTGTGAATCATATCTAATTATCTATAGATATCTATGGCTGGATGGCTCTTTGTCAGGAGGGTTTTGATTACGTTTTCTTGCCCTGGTGAAGGGAGTTGGACTGGATGGCCTTAAGTATTTTCTGTTGGTCATGGGGGTTCTGTGTGGGAAGTTTGCCCCAATTCTGTCATTGTGGGGTTCAGAATGCTCTTTGATTGTAGGTGAACTACAAATCCCAGTAACTACAACTCCCAAATGTCAAGGTCTATTTCCCCCAAACTCCATCTGTGTTCATATTTGGGCATATGGAATATTAATGCCAAGTTTGGTCCAGATCCATCATTGTTTGAGTCCACAGTGCTCTCTGGATGTAGGTGAACTACAACTCCCAAACTCAAGGATCAATGCCCACCAAACCCTTCTAGTGTTTTCTGTTGGTCATGGGAGTCCTGTATGCCATGTTTGGTTCAATGCCATAATTGGTGGAGTTCAGAATGCTCTTTGATTGTAGGTGAACTATAAATCCCAGCAACTACAAATCCCAAATGACAAAATCTTTTTCCCACAAACTCCATCTGTGTTCACATTTGGGCATATTGAATACTCATGCCAAGTTTGGTCCAGATCCATCATTGTTTGAGTCCACAGTGCTCTGGATGTAGGTGAACTACATCTCCCAAACACAAGATCAATGCCCATGTTGATCATGAGAGTCCTGTATGCCATGTTTGGTTCCATTCCATCATTGGTGGCGTTCAGAATGCTCTTTGATTGTAGGTTAACTATAAATCCCAGCAACTATAACTCCCCAAATGACAAAATCAATTTTTGAATGATGGTCACTCCTTGGGTTAGTAGGTGTCTTGTGTCCAAACTTGCAAACTCAAGGTCAAACCCTTCTAGTGTTTTCTGTTGGTCATGGGAGTCCTGTATGCCACGTTTGGTTCAATGCCATAATTGGTGGAGTTCAGAATGCTCTTTGATTGTAGGTGAACTATAAATCCCAGCAACTACAACTCCCAAATGACAAAATCAAATTTTTTTGAGTGAAGGACATACGTTGGGTTGTTAGGTGTATGCTGTCCAAATTTGGTGTCAATTGGCCCACTGTTTTTTGAGTTCTGTTAATCCCACAAACGAACATTACATTATATATATTATATAAATATAAATATAAATATAAAATAAATAAATATGAAAAGGGTCTCTAGCAAACCCAGCAACCCAATATGGAGATCTAGGCGTTGGGACCGCTGAACACTCCTGAGATGTTGGCAGTGTCCTTTGTATCTAGGATATCAGCAGTCGCACGAAAAAGTCACAATTTAGCACCACAACTGGGCCTCCATGTAGTTTGATGACTTCCAAGTGGACAGTGAACCCATGATTTCCCCAAAGTTCCAAGCAAACAGCCATATATGGCTTCTAGATCACAGCTCCACCATCTTCATTTGCAAGGGGAGGTACCTTCATAGGACAGTTGCAGGTAAACACTCACCTAAGCCTAGTTTCTCCACCTCGGCATGGACCAGGCTGCTCTCATTCCTGACCTCATCCACATTTGGACATGTAACGCCTGGAATGTCTGGAAGATCACACGGTGGTGTTTTGGCCACAGGAGAATTACGGCACTCCATTAGAAATTTACGGTCATAAATAATGCGTGTACCTAAAAAGGAAAGAGAATAGTAAGTCAGGGCTCTCACCTGAAGGCTTGTGTTTTGAAAGCCAGTTCCATAGAGGTAACCATGTTAGTCTATAATAATAATTCAGTTTTCAATAGGGTTTGCTAAATAGACTTTAGTACAGCTTATTAATCACCACCAATTGAAAGGTTAGCAGTTCGAAGCCATAGAGGTAACCATGTTAGTCTATATCAGTGTTTCTCAACCTTCCCAATGTCGCGACCCCTTAATACAGTTCCTCATGTTGGGGTGACCCCCAACCATAACATTATTTTTGTTGCTACTTCATAACTGTAATTTTGCTTCTGTTATGAATCGTCATGTAAATATATTATATGCAGGATGTATTTTCATTCAATGGACCAAATCTGGCACAAACACCTGATATGCCCAAATTTGAATATTGATAGGGTTGGGGAGGGGGATTGATTTTGTCATTTGGGAGTTGTAGTTGCTGGGATTTATAGTTCACTTACATTCAAAGAGAATGCTGAACTCCACCAGCGATGGAATTGGAGCAAACAGAACTCCCATGACCAACAGAAAATATTGGAAGGGTTTGGTGGGCACTGACCTTGAGTTTTGGAATTGTAGTTCACCTACATCCAGAGAGCACTGTGGACTCAAACAATGATGGATCTGGACCAATCTTGGAACAAATACTCAATATGTCAAAATGTGAACACTGGTGGAGTTTGAGGGAAATAGACCTTGACATTTGGGAGTTGTAGTTGCTGGGATTTATAGTTCACTTACAATCAAAGAGCATTCTGAACCCCACCAACGATAGAATTGGGCCAAACTTCCCACACAAGACCCCCATGACCAACAGAAAATACTGTGTTTTCTGATGGTCTCTGGCGACCCCTCTGACACCCCCTTGCAACCCCCCCAGGGGTCCCGACCCCCAGGTTGAGATATGCTGGTCTATATAATAATTCAGTTTTCAGCAGGGCTTGCTAAACGGGCTTTTGCACAGCTTGTTAATTACCAGCAGCAACAGATCACACCAATCGAAAAGTTGGCAGTTCGAAGCTCTGGTTGGGGTGAATACCCCACCTTCAGCCCAGCTCACTGTCCACCTAAGCAGTTCAAAAACAGCTGTGAGCCTTGAGTAGATAAATTAGGCACCGCTTAAGTGGGGAGGTATTTTACAACACCATAAACAGGAAACACCAGAAAATAGAGAATGGAGAGACAGCACCCTCCCCCTCCCGTGGCCGGAATTGAGCACAACCTCCAGGGTGCCGAAGTTGGGAGTGTGTCAGGAGCGACTGGAGAAATGGAGAGAATTGGCTGCCTGCAAGAACGTTGCCCAGGGGACACCTGGATGTTTTATCATCCTTGTAGGAATCTTCTCTCATGTGCCCACTCGGGGAGCTAGAGCAGACAGACGGAGCTCATCCGCACCCTCCCTGGATTCGAACCTCTGGGCTGTCGGTTTTCGGTCCCGCTGGCACAAGGGTTTAACCCAGTGTTTCTCAACCTGGCTGGTGTCAGAGGGGTCACCAAAGACCATCAGAAAACACAATATTTTCTGTTAGTCATGGGGGTTCTGAGTGGGAAGTTTCGTTCAGCTCCATCATTGGTGGAGTTCAGAATGCTCTTTGATTGTAGGTGAACTATAAATCCCAGCAACTACAACTCCCAAATCTCAAGGTCTATTTTCCCCCAAACTCCATCTGTGTTCACATTTGGGCATATTGAATATTGGTGCCAACTTTGGCCCAGATCCATCATTGTTGAGTCCACAGTGCTCTCTGGATGTAGGTGAACTACAACTCCCAAACTCAAGGTCAATGCCCACTAAACCATTCCAGTATTTTCTGTGGTCATGGGAGTTCTGTGTGCTAAGTTTGATTCAATTCCATTGTCGGTGGAGTTCAGAATGCTCTTTGGTTGCAGGCAAACTAAAAATCCCAGCAACTACAACTCTCAAATGACAAAAACAACCCCCCCCCACCCCACCATTTGTGTGCCAAATCTGGTCCAGTGAAGTAATATATATCCTGCATAGCAGATATTTACATTAACAGAATTACAGTTATGAAGTAGCAACGAAAACGATGTTATGGTTGGGGGTCATGAGGAACTGTACTAAGGGGTCGCGGCATTAGGAAGGTTGAGAAACACTGGTTTAACCCATTGCGCCACCGGGGGCGCTACAGAATCCACTGTAAACTTGAATCTGTTAGCAACAGTATGCATTGTTTACAGTGCAGAACCCACTGTAAACATTGCATACTGTTACTAACAACTTCATGTAAGTTGGTGGTGTTCCAACCCTTTTACTGTTGCCAAACTTTTGGGGAACCCAACACTGAGCTAAGGAGACCCCATTTGGGACCGGGACCCACATTTTAAGAAGCAGTGCTTTGGATGATCAACGTTGCAGTCCAACAGCATCTGGACACCAATGGTTTCCCTTGCAAAAATAGAGTGTATCATATAGGGGGAGACTCCAAATAGTTTCTGATGCAATTCAACTGAGCTGTAAGGAGGAACCCAGTACTTTTCCATACAATGTTGTCTTAAAACAAAATAAGATCTTGAAGAAAGGCTTTCATATATAGTCATATTAGAATCTATATACATAAAAATGTAATGTTCATTTGTGGAATTAACATAACTCAAAAACCACTGGATGAATTGACACAAAATTTGGACACAAGACACCTACTAACCCAAGGAGTGACCATCACTCAAAAATCCATTTTGTCATTTGGGAGTTATAGTTGCTGGGATTTATAGTTAACCTACAATCAAAGAGCATTCTGAACGCCACCAATGATGGAATGGAACCAAACGTGGCATACAGGACTCTCATGATCAACATGGGCATTAATGGGCATTGACCTTGAGTTTGGGAGTTGTAGTTCACCTACATCCAGAGAGCACTGTGGACTTAAACAATGATGGAGCTTGACCAAACTTGGCACTAATACTCAATATGCCCAAATGTGAACACACCCAAATTTGAATACTGGTGGGGTTGGAAGGGGATTGATTTTGTCATTTGAGAGTTGTAGTTGCTGGGATTTATAGTTCAACTACAATCAAAGAGCATTCGGAACCCCAACAACAATAAAATTGGGCCAAACTTCCCACACAGAACCCCCATGTCTTGACTTACTTAGGCGACCCCTCGTAGTCCAAATACTCAATATGCCCAAATGCGAGCACTGGTGGAGCTTGGGGGAAACAGACCTTCACATTTGGGAGTTGTAGTTACTGGTATTTATAGTTCTCCTACAATCAAAGAGTATTCTGAACTACACCAATGATGTAATTGAACAGGACTCTCATGATCAACACGGGCATTGATGGGCATTGACCTTGAGTTTGGAAGTCGTAGTTCACCTACATCCAGAGATCACTGTGGACTCAAACAATGATGGATCTGGACCAAACTCTACATGAATACTCAATATGCCCAAATGCGAGCACTGGTGGAGCTTGGGGGAAATAGAGCTTCACATTTGGGAGTTGTAGTTACTAGAATTTATAGTTCTCCTACAATCAAAGAGCATTCTGAACTCCACCAATGATGGAATTGAACCAAAAGTGGCACACAGGACTCTCATGATCAATATGGGGATTGATGGGCATTGACCTTGAGTTTGGGAGTTGTGGTTCACCTACATCCAGAGATCACTGTGGACTCAAACAATGATGGATCTGAATCAAACTTGGCACGGATACTCAATATGCCCAAATGCGAGCACTGGTGGAGCTTGGGGGAAACAGACCTTCACATTTGGGAGTTGTAGTTACTGGAATTTATAGTTCTCCTACAATCAAAGAGCATTCTGAACTCCACCAATGATGGAATTGAACCAAATGTGGCACACAGGACTCTCATGACCAACAGAAAACACTAGAAGGGTTTGATGAGCATTGACCTTGAGTTTGGGAGTTGTAGTACACCTACATCCACAGAGCACTGTGGACTCAAACAATGATGGGTCTGGACCAAACTTGCCACGAATATTCCATATGCCAAACTAGGAACACAGATGGAGCTTGGGGGAAATAGACCTTGACATTTGGGAGTTGTAGTTACTGGGATTTATAGTTCACCTACAATCAAAGAGCATTCTGAACCTCACCAACGACAGAATTGGGGCAAACTTCCCACACAGAACCCCCATACTTAAGACCATCTAGAGCAGTGTTTCTCAACCATCCTAACGCCGCGACCCCTTAATACAGTTCCTCATGTTGTGGTGACCCCCAACCATAACATTATATTTGTTGCTTCTTCATAACTGTAATTTTGCTACTGTTATGAATTGGAAAGGGCGTCCAACGGGACAGCTAGGGCTGTTGCAACTTCATATCTGTAAATTTGCTACTGTTGTGAATCGTCATGTAAATATCTGATATGCAGGATGTCTTTTCATTCGCTGGACCTAATTTGGCACAAATACCCAATACGCCCAAGTTTGAATACTGGTGGAGTTGGAGGGAATGGATGTTGTCATTTGGGAGTTATAGTTGCTGGGATTTATAGTTCACCTACAATCGGTGAGCATTCTGAATGCAACTAATGATGGAAACTGAACCAACCTTGGCACACAGAACTCCTATGACCAAGTAGAAAATACTGGAAGCGTTTGGTGGGCACTGACCTTGAGTTTTGGAGTTGTAGTTCACCTACATCCAGAGAGCACTGTGGACTCAAACAATAATAGATCTGGACCAAACTTGGCATGAATACTCAATATGCCCAAATGTGAACACTGGTGGGGTTTGGGGAAATTGTATTTGGGAGTTGTAGTTGCTGGGATTTATAGTTCACCTACAATCAAAGTCCCTCGAACTCCACCAACAATAGAATTGGGCCAAACTTCCAATATATAACCTCCATGACCAACAGAATATACTGGAGGGATTTGGGATGAATTGACAGCGATTTAGGGGAGATGTAGTTCACCATCCACCTTTCTGATGGGTCTTTGGTGACCCCTCTGACACCCCCTCG